TTAAAGACAGCTCCCATTTAGTCAACTCTCTTTTCTTTTATGACATGCTTGGGCAAGGCAGTGGGTCTTTTCTTGTTTTCCCTACATTGGGTCCTCGGAACCCACACGCGGATTTAATTTTAATATTTCTAGTTAGTATTCATATTCAGTTTACATTTACAGTACTTGTAAATTTGAATTGGTAACAATCTTTGGCTATCCTCCGAATAACGGTCCCAAATTATCGAGGCCGAAAATATACCCTAACAGGTCTACGTGTCAGTTGCGGACTTCCTGGGACTATACCGCCACCGCCGAATTGCGGACTTCCGGGGACTTTACCGCCACCGCCGAGAGCATCCCCCACGCCACTCATAAAGAGTGGATTGGGGCTAAACTAGATGGCTGGGACTCATGAGCAAATTAAATGAAGGAAGCTGCAGGAGATGCGGTAGCTGCTGCTCGTGAGTCCCAGCCATCTAGTTTAACCCTTGGCAGTGGCGAAAGTCGCAGGAAGTGCGCAATTTAAGTCGCCGGAAGTCAGCTATTGACGCGTGGCTGAGGCCCTGTTAAGGTATATTTTCAGCCTCGATAATTTTGGACCGTTATTTGGAGGATAGCCCAATCTTTTTATTCATTCATATTTTCTTTTCATGCTTCCTTTTTTTCTTGATTTTCTAAATTAGACTGATATATGGCTTTTTTGACATCCATATAATATGGGACGAGCCTCACATTTTTTTTAACATCAATCAGCACTCACTGGATTATGCCAGCCGCCTTTTTGTCACAAAACATTTTCCTATACCCTTTTATAGATATGGTTATCCTGGAAACCTGGATCAGTTTGAAAGACAAGTCGGCACTCTTCCGAATACCGGTCCCAAATTATTGACTGTCCAAAACATTCCTTTTAGAGCCTCAAGGGGTTATAAAGAGGTTATACAAAATATGGAACACGAACAATAAAATATGGAACTTTACGTACCAATAATGCCGTGAAATAATTATTGAGGCCATCATCATCAGTTTAAAGTTAAGCGCGGTGGGGAGAAATCGTTTCTGATCCACTGAAGTGACGTGGGGAGGAGTAATTTTGCGATCTATTCAAGCGCTGTGTCGATGGGTAGCAACGTTTAAATCATCATCAGTTTTCACTTCTGCCGTTAAGCGCCGTGAAATAATAATTAAGGCGCGGAAACATGTGTCCCCCTCCCCCCTCGCGGAATTTTTAAAAGAAAGATAATGCACAATAATTTTTTTTCTCCATGCGAAAGGCGCAGATATCGCAGCCTAGTTGTAAACCACAACATGCAACCACCTTTTCCCGCCGGAAAATCGTACCCCGATCACCCGCTTAACGGGCAGAATGCCTATCAACTGTACTAGCGAAGACTCTGTAATTTTGTTTAAACGAAATTATATAATAAAAGAAAGCATAGTTCGTAGTGTTCCTGTTCCATATTTTTAACTACGACCTCTTGAGGCCCTGATTGGGATTTTTTGTCTTCGAATAATTTGGGACGGTTATTCTGAAGAGTGCCGACATGTCAATGAGGTTTCAAAATCCTGACCAGCAGGCTAATGTCGTTGTGCTAGCCACAACACTGCTGGGGCTCCAAATGTCGCATAAATGCCCATAATTTCTCTTTTTGAGACATAAATTTGTATACTTTTTGGCAAGATAAATAATAAACATTCTTCTTGTGCTAAGAAGGTCACCGAAACAGCAGTCAAAATAAGTCAGCAGAAGCCAAAAGAGTATTTTCACAAGAGAAAAGTAAATTTATTTGTATTAAAAATGTAAGAAAGTAAGTCACAAATGACATTTTCATTAGTAGCCATTATAAATAGCCCATCAACATACACCAAATTCCTGTAGACCTAACAACTAAACTTTGAGAAAACCAGAGGCCTGTTGAGCTGACATCAGTTTATGATCATAGTGGAATATGTAAGTGTATGAGCAGAGATACTGAAGAAGTTTCTAAAGCAGATTCATTGCGGTTTTGTCAAGGATGTGGCCCAATATATCAGATCTTCGCAAGCGTTTTTCCTGGTCTACTTTTTCCCCCTAGCTTTTTACTGTCACCCCCCGTCCTGTGTGTGTTCTGAGGCCCCATTGTGAGAGAAAAAGAATAGACCCACTACCTCCCTAACAAGCATGTTCTAAGAGTCTACTAATTGGGGATTTTTACTTTGAAGTCTGAGTGCATCTTCCTGAGACTCGAGGAAGTGTCTGCCTACAAATAAGCAAAATCTGTAAAACGGATATGCATGCAAAGCTCATATTCTTAATTAAACAATACTAAAAGTTCAGATTTGGAAAAGCAACCAGAACCTTCCGTGAAGTTTACAGCAAGTGACGTGAGGAAGACTGCACCCCCAGTCTGCTCACAAGACAGTAGGCGTGTACCTCTCTTTGCATGACTTCTTTCCCTTAACCCTGACATCAGAGACACATATAGCTATGCTACTATCACTACAGCTTTTAGTGTTATCCATAAGCCCCTGTAGCAATTTATAGTGGAGATACATCAGAGATGACTGCCCATCATATGTATTGTCCTTTGCATGGGGTATACAGATTTAATAAAAGACATATACAAGAAAATTATATTCATAACATGTCGATATAATTAAGCACGTTGGTGAAGATATTTAGTGACAATTCTTAAGCTTTAAAAATAAACCAGGTCTCTCAAACTTCACCTTTAGACCCTGTAGCAAAAGGCCGCCAAGGACTGTCCCTAGGATTTCTCACATTTGCTATTTAATTATGTCTCACTCATTCATGGGGATAATTTATCTAGTTTTAGGAGATGGGTTGAATATCTATTAGTCTTAAAAATAGTTTATTTTAGAGAGGTATTTTATATGGCTTTCATCAAAATTTACCTTGGTGCTGAGGTCAACCCAGTCTAATTTGAATACCAGGTAATGACGTAGGAAGTAGAAGCTGCTAACATGATCATACCCTGTATCTACCAAATACTGATTGGTCTATAAAATAAGTGTCTGACATATGCCTAGTGTGCCACTGGCATAATAAAGTCCTTTGACATCATCATCAACTGTCTTGACTGGTGTCGACAATCACCCATCTCCACAAATTATGATCTACAACGACATGCCTCTTTCTGATGATTGATTATAAGCTGTTTTCGGGTCTTTACCTCTTTGAGAACATCTTAATTGATCATTTTGATTATATGTGTAGAGCAAGTTTACTCAGGGACCAACAATTTAAAAATGGAGATCGCTGCGGGCCAGAGGCCTAAGCTCTAGCTTAGAAAGATTGTTAATACAACTGGCATTAATCCTCGGGTCACTTGCTATGTCTACACAGGCCACCTCTTGAATCACATTGATATAGAGGTTTGTTACTGATACATAATTTCTATATGTGGAAAAGTTAGTTTTGTTTCCTCTTCTGGTTGCCACAAACCAAACCCATCATTAATTTTTTTACCATTTAGTTTTACTAGTCAATTCTTCTTCACGTTCACTGGCTGTAAACTTCAGCAGAAAGTTCCTGTTGTTTGTCCAACTTTGGACTTTATCTTGTTCCAAAACATGAGTGTTGAGTGCAGATCTGACTTAATTGTATGCTGATTGTTGGTTCCTTTTCTCTCAGGCTGCTACACTCTAACTTCGAAGGAAGCCCCCCAAATAGTCGACAATGGGTCTGTTCTTGTTTTCCCCACAATTGGTCTCCGGAACCCACACCAGTAACTAGTTGATTATACGTTCAGTGTTTTGGCATTACTTTCTCATCGGTACATTGTTCATACCTTTGTCCAAGTCAGTTTAAAGCAACATTAATGCAAGCTACGCAACTAGCAAAAGACAGGAAACTACATACAAGGTCCGACAATTAAGTGAGAGACTAATTCCATAAAAATGGAAATAATCAAAAGTTTTGAAGATATAACCTGTATTTTTTTTTCAAAGTAAGCCCCTTGTGCATTAATGCAGCAAGTGGCACGATCTAACAAACACTGGAATGACCTCTGTAGTTCTTCTGTTGTTATGACCCTTAATGTCGATGTTACGGCTCTTTGGGTGTCATCAAAATCGTTCAAAAAAGCGTCTTTTCAATCAAAACTTTTAATTTTGGGAATAGGAAATAATCACTGGGAGACAAAACTGGGAAATAGGGTAGAAGGCTGAGAACATACACTTGTTTTTGGGCCAACAATTCTTCTTTTGATGATGTCTCTTGGGTATTCAACCCGCTGATGTTTTTGGTCATCAAACAACGAATGTCGTACAAACTGGCAAGCAACTTTTTTCTTGTCAAAATCTTGCACTAAAATTGTATGAATGGTCTCTCTATTACCACCAGATTTATCTGCCATCATCTTAACAGTAAAACAATGATTTTTTTGTATCGGTTCTCTGACTTTTGCAATGAGTTCATCATTACGCACAAAAATTTGGCGTCCAGATCTAGATGCATTAGTAATCATTTCAACACCACTTTTGAACTGTAAATACCATCTGAAAATTTGTGCACGATATAAACAATTATCCCCATAAACTTGTTAAAAGAATTCAACTGTTTCAATGGCATGTTTTCTGAATTTTAAAAATAATTTAATGTTAGCTTTTTGCTTCATGCTGATAACGTAACAATGCATCTCTGACTAGCTCCAGAAAATGGCGGCTTGTTTGTTGTCTGCTTATTGAGTGATGATGAAAAGTTGCCCGATCATAGATGAATGTTGTCTCTTTAGATTCCATGCTTTGCTAAATATATGGCACTTTTAATCATGGCCATAACAAAATCAGTCTCATTACTTAATTGCCGGACTTTGTATAACTCCTCTTTGCAACGCTTTGGGGCATAAGCAGTGGGATAAGAGAAAGCAACTACTATTTTGCCTGCAGCTAAGTTTGAACTGTTCCTACCTATAACTTGACATTTGCAGGTCTAGAGTTGGGAGCTAGTTTTGTATAGACTGTTCATGAATACTTTATCTCTCCTCAGATTACATGACACACACCTTCCAGTCAACATGGATTTTGACTCCTCTTCTAAGTTTATAGCTTCACTTGCAAAATTTCTGCAGTCGCTGTGTAATGGATATGTGGATTTTGACAAAGGTGTGGAAGTTATTGGGCACATCTACATAAATGTGGACAGTGACACCGGCAAAAAGCTTGATTATGTTCTCAATGAAAAAGTCTGCAAAAATGACAACTCTATCACTTTCATCAGCAACAGTTTCCATGCACAGCCAGCAGAAAAACCTAAACCACCACCAAAAAAGGCAGCAGAACCGGAAAAACAAAATGAGGAATCAATTGTTTTGGACGATTCAGGGCAGACAGTTCCAAACAGCACTAACGTCGGCACCCTGGGCTCATATAGAGGTGCATCTGCTAGAGCAGCACCACAAGATTCATTCCCCAGCGGTTCCAAGCGTCCGCTAACGCCACCCCTGCGCAGAGGTATTGGTAAAGGTGGAAGCCCTTTGCCATCTAAAGTCGGCACACCTTCATCGCCCCGCTACCATGACTCTGGTGGTCCAGCCGCCAAAATGAGCAGATCTGATATTCCACCAAGTCCTTCAAACAATAGTTACCTTAGCGGCGGCCGGGATGATTACGACAGTTCTAATGTCTTTCACTCAAGTGGTGAGAATGATGACAATGAAAATTATTCTTCCAGTTTTCTAGACGATCAAAACTCAGCAGATTTGGACCAGAAACCAGTGATTGACCCTGATATTAGTATTGTTAAAGAGGAATATATCTCAAACCAGAGCAGTTGCTCCTTCTCTGGGAGCAGTCAGACTTCTGGTAAGTCTTGTGTGTTGTCTGCGTTGAACTTTGAAAGATTTGATTTTAAACGTTTAATCAAGTACAGGGCTTTTTCTTCCTAGGATAAGACCAGTATTCCCAATGTGCATCTCTGCCTGAAGTCATTGGCACATTGTGGGATGTCAGGTTTTGTATTGACCACCTAGCATTTAGTGTTTACAGAGAACTAGTAAGACTGACTACTGTTATGTAGTACCTGAATCATATCTGACTGAGATCGGACTCCAAAGAAGTGGCATGAAAAAACTGCTGATGTAAGTAGTATGAAAAAAGCAAATAAAATATTTTGGCTACATTAAATTCTTTTATTCCTTGATGAAAACATGAATGAAATGTTCACTGCACTATCTTTCTTACCCCTGAAAGCTTTCAATGAGTCTTTTTTTTTTCTTTGGTGAGTTGGTTAAACTTTCTGCCCTGTATTCTAGTTTCTGGGTTGTTTTAGACTACTCTTCTGTTGGTAAGGGCTTGTGTTTACTTTCACTACCATACTACTACTCAGATTCGTCGAGTAATCCAAAGATAATGCACATTTCTGACTCTCTTCTATGCATATAACGTTACATTGACTCATTATTTCCTAATTCGTCATTTTACTCCTTCTGCCTCATAGTGTTACTCGTTTCTTTCGATAGACATTGGCTACTTTGAACTAACACTGCCTGGGATAGGAGTTAAACACAAGTGGGTACCAAAACAGTTTTAAAAAAGTCCCTGAGAATGCTGCTGGAGCTATGTTTCTTGTGACACCTCCCCATCAACAAGTACTCTGTGAGACTGAGCCATATTGAATAAAATCCGGGTGCAGTAAAGTCTTTCCACCCGCTTAAACATTTTGTTTTAAAAAAAACCCAATAAAGTGGCTTGTCTTCTGGACTCCTTATTTCAGCCAGTAAAAAATAAAAAAAAGTATATACTAGGTCAGGCCAACCACATAGGTACAGGGTAAAGCCCCCGCCCCCCCCCCCCGCCCAAAAAAAAACCCAAATCGTGCGTTACTATTCTAGAGCAATAACCTGTTTAAAATTATAGCTAGTTTTAGTAAACGCACAAACTGGCCATGTCGCTAGACCAGGAACAGTCAAAGTCTAAAAACAGCAAGACTGAAATAATGATTATATGCTTGACTAACTAGTTATTACTTTAGTAACTAGTGTAACCTAATGTTGCTGTTAATAGGAGTCATGTTGATATATGAAGCCTTACCCCTTCCACCCGTTTCCAGAACCAGAACAAATCCAGCTTGGTTGCTAGCAAGAAAGGGCATTTTTCTTTTTCTTCTTCTGCCTATCTCCCAATGGAGCATAGGCCCTAAACTAACTCACGCCAAGTCGTTCTATCCTTCGCCCTTGCATGGAGCTCTCCCCATGCCCTCCCCATCTTTCTAACCTCATTCCCCAGCTCTCTTCTCCATGTGTTTTTTGGCCTTCCTTTATTCCTATGCCCCTGTGGGTTCCAAAGCAAAGACATTCTAGTTATGCTGTTCTCAGTGTGTGTCCTATCTAACGCCAGCGTCTTTTCCTCACCTCTTGGTCCACTGGAGCCTGTTTAGTTCTCTCCCAAAGTTCTACATTAGTTATTCTTTCATACCATTTTATTCCCTCTATTCTGCGCAGGCACCAGTTAATGAATGTCTGTAATTTATTAGTAATTGCCTTGGTTGTTCTCCATGTTTCAGCCCCATACAATAGTACTGAGTTGACATTAGAATTAAAAAATTTTAGTTTAGTATTTCTTTTAATTTCTTTTGACCTCCGCAAATTCCCTAGTGCAATGAAAGCCCCTCTTGCCTTTTGTATTCTTATTTTAATATCTCTATCAGTTCCTCCATCTTTATCTACATTACTGCCCAAATAGGTGTACGACTCCACGTCTTGGAGTGGGGTGTCATTAAGAGAAACCACATTACTATTTGCCTGATTTATTCTCATTATCTTTGTCTTTCCTTTATGGATTTTCAGACCAAGCTGTTGTGATCTCGCATCAAGTATATTTAATTTATCTTGCTTCTGATTCCGTGAATGGGGCAGAAGAGCAATATCATCAGTGAAGTCCAGATCATCAGAAAGGGCATTTTAGACAATAATTAATGGCGTCCCTTCACATATGGTTGAAAAGATATATTCTTGCTGTCTTCTGTAACAGACAGATGTTATATTAACCTTTTGTACCTGAATTCTTTTTTTTTCTCTATCAGAAATATTATTCATGTGAATAAAGTAGCAAATAACATTTATTTTTTCCTTTGATGTGACTTGCTTGGTGCCTCTGAGACGACCCGTATGGCGGGCAGCAATCAGACCAACCTTTCTACCAGCAGAAGCATCTCGCCTGACTGGATGCCATACCAATGTGCTGGTGATAATCATCACCATGAGGATGTTCAACAGGGTTCATAGCAACACCTCTAACTTTAGGCCAGCAGTTTCTTTTGGCCTTGTACTTGTGATAGGCACATCCTGCCTTCAGGATTAGTTTACCAATACATCTATCGCCAGCAACAATACCAATCATGGCTCGGTTGGTAGATGACACAGCTTTCTTAGTGCCAGATGGAAGCTTCTCTCTGGACTTCTTGGTCTTAGGGTTGTGAAAGATCACAGTTGTGTAGTTGCCCTATGTACATGCAGATTTGCCCTGTTATATCTAAATTCTTAGTTCAACAATTTGTCTCAGAGTATTCTTTTCCTAATTTCTGCATACCTAAATATTAATTGTTATTAATCTTGACCCTTTGAAAAGAAAAGAAAAAAAGGGGGGGGGGGTGTAAAATAGAAATGGTTTATAACTGAGTAAAATAATTGGGGTAAATGCAATATTGTGAACAGAAGATAAAAGATCTTTTATACTCAGTGTTGAATCATTTTTATCTTCCTTAGTTATGTGCAAAAGATGTGACCTGCAGTCTGAAATCTTTGAATAATTAATACTAGCAAAATGCCATCTTAAAACTTTTGTAATGTTAGCAAAAGTTGTTCTGTTATACAGAATTGGGCAAGCCAAATTCATGGTTTTTCAAACTTGATTATGAATAAATGATTCAAGTCTTGACATCCCTGTATTTGGGACATTCCCACATGTGTTCCATCTCCTTCCTACATGTGTTCCATCTCCTTCCTAATTAGACAACAAAGAGTCGAGATGTTAACCTTCCTAATGCTGCAACCCTTTAATACAGTTCCTCATGTTGTATCAACACGCAGCCATACAACTATTTTTGTTGCTTCATACTTTAATGAGTATGTATTTTGCAAAGGTCTTTGGCGACCCCTGCGAAAGGGTCGTTTGACACACACACACACACAAAACAAAAAAGGGGGTCACTATCTATAGGTTAATAGCTGTACTAATAGAACTTGTCACCTGATTAAAAGTCTGCCTATGTTTTCTCCACAATGTTGTCTTTTAGACTGGTCAACCTCCGCTAAATTAGTCTTTCAATGTATGGATACTCAATCTGTTCTGCTGCACTGTCCACTTGATCCCAGACAGCCTTCACTACTTCTGCTGTAAATGCTGAGTTTGTTAGTCGAGGTTTCAACATCACCTCAATCGGGTTTCCCTATACTTGCTCCGTTCCTGTGTCAATGTGAATAAAATGAAATATCCCTCCTGTCGCATTTGAAAATTTGGTTAATAAACAGCTAGTTCCGGAACAATCCAGAAATATATGCACTCAGTAAATGCATATTTCAGTTGCTCAAGTCGGCAAATCCAATAATTTAACTCCAGAAATGCAGTTTGTCGTTGATGGAAGTAGTCGGGCACGATAATTTGGTTACTATGCACACGTAGAATTCTTACATAGGGTATTTAATCACCTCAGGTAAACTTGCCATATTGAACAAAACGACACATGAAAACGCAAATGAAAGGCATTCCATAGGAAAAATGTAGCGCACAGGGCTGCAACCAAGCACTAAATTCAGTAGCTCAGGCATCAAAACCGTAGACTACCATCCTTATGTGGAAACTGCATTAGCAAAGTGCCACTGGAAGCAAAAAATAACTTTAAAGCTTAACATTCTGCCAAGCCTTTCCTCCATTTTGGCCAGAATCCTGTAAAAGCTGAGTATCAAATAGTAACGGGTATCTTGATCCATAAACTATGGACAGTTTGAATCAAAGCTGAAACCCCATGCACAGATTTGAATGAACTGCCCAAACTGATTTCATGACACCATTTTCTCTTGTATTCCTGGTTAGTTTGCTGTCTAGCTCTTATCTGCATACTCCGTCATGCTAATATGGATATTGCAGCCATGCTTAGTTGAAGTTGAGATAACTTCATTGCACTACATTATCCCATTAGTTCGGTCTCGTAGAATGGCTAAGTCATTTGCTGCAGACTTGCACAAAGCATGAATTCCAGTCCCATTGCTGATTCCTGGGCATATATGATAGATCTCCAGTGATATATGATATTTGAATGCAAACAAGATTGTGATTTCAGATCATTTAGAAAGGTTACACTTTGTTTTTAATAGAGAATCAGCCCCCTCTGATATTTTTAAGCTTTGGTTTTCTAGGGGGGCTTGTTTGTTTCATTGACCTCAAGAGCTATGCCTCCAGTAGTTAAGCTGCTGGTAAGATCTTTCACATTAGACGGGTCAAGAGATTTGCAATATAAGTAGATCAGGAACAGTCAAAGTCTAGGGAGAGTAAGCCAGCCTGAATTAATGCTTGTTGAAATAGTATATACTGAGCCACAGGCTTGACTAAACAGTGCAGTGTAACTTGCTTCATGATAAATGAAACAGAAATAGTTATCACTAGCTGTAAACTCTGGCAGAAAGTTCTGGTTGTTCATTCACTTTTGGACTTCAGTCTTGTTCCAGAACTTGAATTTTGTGAGCACATCCATTTTGCAGATATGGCTTATTTGTATGTAGACTGTTGGTTCTTCACTTGTCAGGCAGATATGCTCTGACTTTAGAGGTAAAACCCTTGAATAGTCATCTTTTACATGATGCTTGTTAGGGAAGCATTGGGCCTCCAATATTATTATCACTCCCCCCCCCCCCCCCCCCCCAAAAAAAAAAAAAAAAACTTCTGCCCCTCTGCCCCAGATCCAATGCGGAGAGTCATAAAAATTTATGTCTTGTTTTTTTTTGGTCCATAGGTCCTGGCCGAGGCAAAAGCCAGATGGCCTCTGCTTACCCTGTCATGCTCCATCAAAGTCCTTCCAGTTACGCTGGTGCTCCTGCAGGTCCACCGTCTCACCAGCCTGATATGTTCTCAGGTTCTTCTTTAGAGGGCACAGGAGATCCATCAAGTAAGTATCATAATTTAAATACAGAATAGTTGTATTATTGGTTTAGATCAAGTGCTGCAGGCAGTACTTATGAAAGCAGGTTGGTAAGCACAGTGAGAAGGATGCGAATACTTAGAACTTGAGTACTCTGAGTGGTCAGGAATTAAATTACAGGATCATTTCAACAATGTGTGAAGGGATAGCCACTCATTTTTGCATAATGCATGGACAGAATTCAGCCTTAAAGGATAATGAGAAAACCAGGAATTTATAACCTGGGAAAAAGTTCCAAATGTGTGATTTATCATGCTCGAGAAGAATTGAAATTACCTAGTATATACTAGCTGGCCTGTACTGCAACTTGAGCAAGGTTGGTGCTGCAAGCAGCTTTTGTGTTTGGGCGGGGGCAGTGATACAAGGTACTTGACATATTACAGCCTCAGCTAGAATTGTGCACCAAGGAGCTTCTGGGTTTGGGAGCTGACAGGAATACATTTTACTTTAAATGTAACACATATATCTGTGAAAAGTTGACCTGAACAGTTGAAAGTGGAAAGAAGATACAAGCATAAGAAATGAGATCTGTCAGAAAATTCTTGGCATATCATTTAGAGACCGTATCATAAATGAGAAGGTTCACCGTATAATTACTCAGCACATTGGCAACTGTGAACCTCTATTAACTGCAGGGAAAAGATGGCAAATGCAATGGTATAGAGAGGTAATAAGATCTAACAGCCTGTCAAAAACCTTACTGCAGTAAGACCTGGATACAGAACTTTATTGACTGGATAGGCCTTGTGTATGCAACCATGAAGTCCATGGCATCTGACTGTCAAAGGTGGAGGGAGCTAATCAGTCAGTCAGTCAGCAGCTGGTGACCCAACGACACTACTGGACAATGATGATGATGACATTCTCAGCGAGGGTGATATCGTAAATAACGTTTTGGGTTCTGGGAGAATTACGAATCAACATCATAGCACTCATCCCCATCAGCAGCAGCAAACAAAGAGCTCCAAAGAAGAGTTTTGGAAGACTCCATACAGAAATAATAGGACTTGACACACACCTCTTCTTGAGAGAGGAGGGTGTCTTATGAACTTCTGAGCTGTGAGAAAGAACAGAAATACATATTAGCTGGCAGTTGTTGTTCATATCTCATCATTTTTAGTTTACTCTAGTTGGAAATGATGGGATCTAGAACCGGTGAGTTTGCCTGATGTAAATGGTTATAATTGCTTGGTACAGTTCAGTCTTTACCAGCATGAGAGACCTAAGTTTATACAGTATATGGGTGCTGTACATCAAGAATTGATTTGAAGAGCTTCAAATGAAAACCTTTAGTTTTCGATTTAAAGAGGACAAAAGGGATTATTGGCTGAAGTTTTGTATTGAGTGACCCCTACAGGTGGCATTATAGTACTGACAAATCACAGATCACCGTAAGATACTCACCTGTCTAGTGTCATGCGCTAAAGAAAGAGAGTAGTCATGTTATGTGTTAAAAGTGAAGGGATCCAATCTAGAAATGGAACCAGTGGTCCTGCATGAGAATCATGCCTGTCAAGCCAGTTGGTGTACTAGTAAAGCAGCAACCAGAAACAGGCTGGGTTCTATGACAGGTACACATTGTCTTCCACACTTAATATACTCCGGAAATATCCTGTTTATATTATCACATATTTGAGCTAGTCGAAAAGAGTGCAGTCATGGTTAAGCAACCGGAAACAGCCTGGGTTTATGGCAGGCTGTTGTGGACTGTGTAGGCACACCAGTGCTACTTCGTGCAGATAGTCCAGTTGTTGCAACCATAAAAGACCTGCACATTCTTTTCCACACCTCCCTAGTCAGATTTAGCTGTTGTCGGTTCACATATTTGAGCAAATCAAAGAGTGGAGCAGCAGCTAGAAACTGCATGAGTTCTGTGTCACATTGTGGATTACTGGTCAGGCAGACTAAAACCTCTTCAACTTATGTTGTAGTTTCAGTAACTGAAGACTTCACAAGTTGTCTTTCACATCCACTTCACTCAGTAGATATGGCCTCTGTTTGTTATCACAGATTTAAACTGCTTAAAATTGGTCTTGATGAAAAGACTTTTTTAATTTTGACATGCAAGAGGTGGAGCGTGAGTGGCAAAGAATACATACAACATAATTCTTTTAGAGAAATCTAGATTATACATGATAGAAGCTGTAATTGAATGCAGGCGTTGTGGGTTGCTCGGCACCAATTGTTAGAGGAAAAAAGGAATAGACCCACTACCCTCTTCAAGTAGATTTTAAAGTAAACTAATTAAGGGTGCATCTGCCTGAGAGACGAGGAACCACCAGTATGCATACAAATAAGTCTCATCTGTAAAACAGATTTGCATGCAAAACTCAAGCTCTGGAGCAAGACTAAAGTCTAGAATTGGACTAACAACCAGAACTTTTCCGCCAGAGTTTACAGCCGGTGAACATGAAGAAGTAGAAAAAAGACAAATGAAGTGGTGAAATTAAAACATTATAATTATGCCTACTTGAAAAATAATATTTACAAAAATTGAGGTCTAGAAAATGAAGTGTTTTTATTTGAAGCAACCTCATATGTATATATGTGTCTCTAGGTATCTAGCTGAATTCAAAATGTTACATTTATAATTATTTTGTTCAATAAACAAGTTGCTTTCTAACAGTTTCTTTTCTCTACTTTCTGTAGCTCTACTTGTCATTTCAGTATACTTGATATCCTCTTCTTTGATTGATTTGCATATTTTGTGGTCTCGCAGTCTTTTGTATCTCCGGTTTGTCCCAGTACATTTTCAGTTAATAAATAACCCTGTGAAGCTGAAATGTTCTTCTTAAGTCCATGCCAGTAGCTAATAATGGTAGTTGTGTTAGCAGTTTGTTTTGAAATGCATTGTAATAAGCAAACATTCATGTAGCAGCAGTGGTCTTGCGTTAACATGTAGTGACCTTTTGTTTTCATACTGTTTCGTCTGAAATTGTTACCATAACACCATTTTTTGGAGAGAAATGAACACTGCTCACTAATAAGATTCAGGTATTTTTTGACATTCTTCTTTGAGTTTGGTGGGATGCATTGATTCTAGAGCTGGGTAGTTCTAGCCAGAATCATGCATCTGTAGAGTTGGTGCAGTAAAAGCTGATTACATGCGTGATTCACAATCCACATCTAGTAAAGTTGTCAGTACTTTTATTTTTCATGAATAAGTCACCAGAAGTGATTAAAGCAGAGTTGTTGATTACAGCTTTTTCCTGTGTGGGTTCCGGGGCCCTGTTATGGGGAAAACAAGAATAGACCCATTGCCTACCTATAAGCATGTGACTAACTAAGAGTCAGAGTGCACCTGCCTGAGAGGCAAGAAACCAGCAGTCTGCATACAAATGAGTCAGATCTGTAAAATGTATGCACACGCAACACTCAAGTTCTGAAACAGGACTGCAGTCCAGAAGTAGATGAACAACCAGAACTTTCCACCAGAGTTTACAGTTGTGAACGTGAAGAAGAAGAAGATTACAGCTTTCATGGGGAATTTTTGCATAAACACAGAGAAAAGAGAATTCGAGACAGGCAGACATTATTAGGAGGACATGTAGGGAGCCACAGGTGATGGCAAAGATAGGAGCTGGCAGGCTTGGTTGGCATGAGTTGGTTGAGGGCAGTCATTGTGGTGAGGGTTGAAAAGCAAGAATAGGATGCAGAGGCTTGGATCTGTAATCCTTGAGTATAAGAGCCCTTAATGACTACACATCCTTCTCACAAGAAAGAATATTCATAATCATATCAAATGTCACATTACACAGTGTGCTGTGTGGTCACCAGTTGCTGTTGACTGTATGATCATTATCCTTCACCCCTGGCTGTCAGATGCAATGGACTGGGTGTTTTGCATGTTTGAAGCCTGTTCATTCAGCCAGATTCTGTAACCAGGTCTTTTTCTGCTTCTTCTCCTCTTACCAAGAACTGAACCCTGTAGTATTGTTTTGGCCTATAGATCTTGTTAATGTCATTGCATTGCTTGTCATTTCACTGTTGTTCAAAGAGGTTCATAGTTGCCAGTGGATGATCAGGATATGGCAAACTTTTTGCCAAGATGATTTTCGTTCTGATGAGAATTGGCCAGAAGTCACAATCCTAGGTTATGCCAAATGAAAGTATGCAACACAGTGTTCATATCAGGCCTTGAAATCTTGAAAAACTCATGGAGTGCAAGATCCCTCTCAAGGTCTTGAGAAAACTCGGAATTTGTAAGAAAACTAATGAAGAAATTTGTTAAACTGTACCCACCAATTCTTGAATTTTACGACCAGCAGTAGTGTTTCTGTGATAGATTCTGGGTTTCATCTCTGACTGCACCTGATTTCTATGTTGCAGATTAATGCAAATTTGCTTGCATACACAAATAAATATATACATATTTTAATTGTCATTTTATTGAACTTTCTCTGTATTTTTATAGTAGCTTTAAAATGTATCTTTTTCATGATGGTAGTATGTTAATTATTTGTGATGACCACACTTACTGAAGAGAAAGATAAATCTCCCCCCAAGCCACCGAGGTTCACTCTTTCAGTACCAGAGCGCAGTTAAATTCATTCAATGCATGATGCATTCATTGGTACTTAGAGTTGCTACCTAGAATTATCAGAATGTGGGAATTAAATTAAAAAAACAATTGTCACAAATATTTAGTGATATTGATTATATACTTTTTCTAGAAATGAGTAAACCAGTTTGATTACACTTTTACCATTGTTGTTTTAGACTTGTAAAGTTATCATACATTATTACTGGTTGATTATATGTTTATCAGCAAAAGAATTACTTCAGTTACTGCCGTGATGTGATGAGAATATATATAAAAATGTGTGTGTGTGTATATTGTGTGGGAATGGGTCATTATAAATGAAAGATTTAATCTGATGTAAATCGGTAGAAATTAGGTCATAAGCAATATAGACCACATTTTCTGCCTATGTGCCAACATTCTGTGTGAAAATTAGTTTTCATTT